GCTGCCATCGATATCGTCAACGAGAAGTACAAATGGGAAATAGGGCTCACATTTGATAAAACTATTGATTTAACAGTAAGTTTAATTTATGTTTTGTAATAAATACAGTATTACAGAATATTCCTTAGGCGGCGTGCACAAAGTACGTACGCAAAATTTTGTTCAAAAATTGACCCCCCCTCCCCCCTACCAGTGCGTATGTACTTTGTGCACGCCGCCTTATGTTAAGTGCACGGGGTCTCAAAATAACAATAAATCAAATTAAATGGTTTGGTATTGGTCTAAATGTATAATTTATTTTCATGATGGTTAACACTGGGTTAATTCAATATTATGATAATATTATATGTTATTATATTTACTAATATAGTATTTTGTAATGCACTTAAGATAATTTTCATTGTATTGATTTTTATGGCAATTATTCAATTGTTTCCCTACTTATCAGTGATAAGTTATCACAAGTAGTCAATTACGAGGCAAACAAATCATATAAATTGTTCAAGGCATAAACATTAACAAGGCAAATAATAAATTATGGTTTTAATTAATTCAAACAACTTATTTAGATGTGACTTTTATTAACCAAAATTATGTCCATCATTAAATTATAAAAACATAAAACAATTAGATGTAATAAATACAAAAAATCTTGATATAAAATAAAAATTAATCCAAGGTGAAAACTCTTTGAGTAAACATTACAATAATCGTAATCTAAATAGTCTGGAGGTGTAGGAGGGCTGCCAACGAGCTCTGAAAGCCGGCGTTATAATCCATGGCCACCTCGTTGTGCACATAATCGTCCCGTTTGTCAACGTAGGCATCATGCTGGTCGGGCCCGCCTACCATAGCACCGGTAAGCACGTGGGGATTGGGACCCGGGTTAGACATGGCTGAGTAGTCGCACACTTTCGGCTCATCCGGGCACGAGCTATGAATACACAAATAAAACGGTTATAATAACCTTGTTTATAAATTATACGTCATTTTTATCGTACGACGCTCTGTGATGGGGGTGTGAGGGTGGGTTAACCCCTACGCCCACCACAAAACTCCTGCCCGTATCGCCTAATACGTATCCGATTTGCTTTTCACCAAACTTTCGGTAGGCGTCCGGATTGACGCCCAATTTTGCCGCCTTTTATAGCAAACAAATTGATTATAAATATATTTTTTATCATTATTTTCTAAAACTCTATAAATACCTGGAGGCAAACGAATGCCACATTACTGGCGTGTCTAAGTGTGCCCCATTGATCCAGGTACACCATACCTTAAGAAATATATATAATTATGATAATTTGAGTTCATTTCTTTTATTCACTATATATTTGAATACCTTTTGGTGTTTTGGGAGCGGTATTGACAATCCAATCGCAAAAAGTTTTAGCCAAAGTCTTATACTTCTGATCGCCAGTCACCTCAGCCAACAGCACCTGTACTCCAGCGGTCTTATCGTCCCATCCAAACTGTGTGGGCTTTCCCATCAATTGTTTGCCAAATTCATTGAAGTGTTTGTCCACTTCTGCCTTATAATGGCTATCATTGGTAGCCCTGAGCAGCCACGTGGCAGCCCAGGCCAACTCATCGCCAAAGCCGGAAGGCCTGTAGAAATTTGCTGCGTCTGTGATCTCTGCCGTATAAACGGACCGATGTTTGTCCGCAAAGGTATACAAAGACTTGGCGTGAGTTAGAAGTGTCGCGGAATATGTCGGATCAGACTTCGCGAAGGCTATGGACGCCGCCGCCAGTGCTGCCGATGTCTCGCCCAATAAATCGCTGCCTATTTTGACACAAATTGTAATAAACATAAAATAAACTTAATATAATTTATTTGTCATAATCATTACAATACCTCCCTTTGCGGTCGTGACCTTATAAGCCGGTCTAACTTTCCCCGTTTTAGGCCAGTCCTCAGGTCGACCCCACACGGCGTGATCTTCATTACCTTCGCCTACCTGTCCGTAGAATTCATTATCGCTTGTATGACACTATATAAAAACCATATTAATAATCAATTAGATATAGATTTCAAATTTATAAAAATTTTATATTACTTTCAAGAAGTAGTCGGTTCCCCATTTGATAGCATTGCGCATATTCTCCAACTCCCCGGCCTTTTGGTAGGCATCCTCGTAGTCTACCAGACCCCAGGACAGGATTGTCATCGTGGCCGCCATCGGGAAACCAA